AAGGATTAGGACGAGAACACCTTTGGGGCAAGGAGGGAAGTCAGCCTTGTGTCTGCCACAGCAGCCTTCTTCAGAAGGCAGGTACTGAAAAACAGACTTGAGAGCAAGCAGTTAAGAGGCATTTGGGTTTCAGTCTGAATAAGGAGCAGATTAGATAGCCATGTATTTCACAGGGCACAGGAAGTCCCTCAGCTCGTCCCTGCTCCTTGTTGCATCCCACAACCCTCCACGATGGGGGCTGGCAGCTGTTTTAGGGACACTTGGGGTGTGTTCCTTGAGGATAAGATAGGGACATGAAAATCTCTTGACCCTCGAAGACAGAAAAGAGGAAAAACTTGCTTCTTCCTGGGAAGCAGATGAAGTCTCCAGAAGGTTCATTACTGGTCTCACAGATTTCTGCCCCCTTTCCTCTATTAGCCTCGTACCTGAGAGCAACCAGGAAAAGATAAGGCTGCTTCAAGGGGAAAAAAAAAATCTCTTCTTACAAGTCTGAGGCTTCTAAATTTCTCCTTTGGAAAGAAGTGGGTTCCAGATGGTTACCCTGAAGGCATGCATCGCCATTCCCAGAGCGAACACAAAATGAAGATTAATAATATTACTTTTTAAAATGATGCCTAAGGGGTAACGTGTGAAGGAAGAGAGGACACACAGCTGCAGTTTGATAGGATGAGCAGGGTCTGTTCATCCTCTGTGTTGGTGACCTGAGGATCAGGACCCTGAGGCCTGCTGGCGTCACAGGCAGTGCTAGACCTGGGAAGCTGACACCAGAGAACGGCAGCGCCAGGGAGGGACCCTGGAAATCAAGTTTTTCAACCCCCTCACTTAAAGATGAGGTTGAATTCCATGCCCAAGGTTGTATAGTTTGAGCATCCTTTATCAAAGATGCTTGGGACTACAAGTGTTACAGATTTGGGTTTATCTTTTTAGATTTTGGATAATTTGCATGTATGTTACGAGATAATTTAGGAAGGGGAACTTTCCTATTTGTTTCATATATAACTGGTATACATAGTAATTTTGTAAAATATTTTCAATAGTTTTGTCCATGAAACAGTTTCCTGGTGTGAAATTTTCCACTGTGGCATCGTGTCAGTGCCCAGAGAAGTTCAGAGTTTTGCTTTTTGGATTTTGGATTTGGGATGCTCGACCTTTGTTTCTAAGGCGGACCATGAATGAGACTCAGAGTTGGATTGCCTGAATCCTGATCCGCCACCCCGCTGACTGCTTCCTTCTGTCTCTTGGCGAGGACAGACACAGCTGAGACCTGTACAGTCACACCAGAGATGGGGCATCTTTAGGGGCACTTTTCCTCTGCGGTGCAGAGTTCATGTGAGCATTTAGACGGAGGCAGGACGAGGAGGGCCAGAGGGCCAGGAGGGCCTGGGAGGTGGACTATCCTGAGAACGTAGGTCCACTCTGGACAGTGCAGGGAGGGCCGGTGGTCCCTGAGAAAGGGACGATCCCACAACAAGTGGACATAGAGCCCCACATGGAGCCGAGGGAGAGCTCCTCAGTTGGAGAGTAACACCAGAAGATTGGTGGGGCAAATCTTGCAACTGTTAAAATTCAAAGGTTTTTGAACTTTGTGTGCGTGACCATGGGGAGCTTTAAGGATTTGGCCTTAGGAAAATGGCTGCTGAACTTAGGTGTTTAACACCTTCCCACCAACTTGAGTCACTGGTGGTACAAATGGATCTAATCACTTTTATGGGTCTTTTTACTAGTAAAGTTAATGAAAAGCCACCCGATGGGATGGATAGTCATGCATGTAGCATGGGTGGTTCAAGCTGCTGTCAGTGAGACATGAATTATGTATGGCCCCACCATGAATGTGTCAAAGGAAGAGTGTGTGTGGTGAGACCCTGTTGTGGTACTTGATGATCCACCTCAGAAACAAGATCCAGTGGGAGGGGAACCAAAGACAAGGGCTCCCTTGAGCCTGGTGTGCAACAGTGGGTTGTTTCTTTCTGAGCGACCTTGCTGGTGGTTGGGACAAGGATGAGAGGGTCTCAGGAACCCAGCATGGAACAAGGCTGTGCTCAGCCCTCATACTCTGAGTCCCACTCCTCACCCAGATGCAGCCCTCCTCTTTCCACCGTGGAACCATTCACACCTCTGCCCTAGGGCCAGCCTTCCCTGTGGGAAGCAGGGATGGGTGGAACAAGGCCTGCACTTGAGGGCGGAGGGGGCACTGTCAGCAGACGTTCCCAGACCCTGTGATAGGTGCTGGTGAGGAACCAGTCCTCTTCGCAGAGCTTCACAGACTGGAGGGAGATGGACTGGACCCTTCTAGGACCCACTGTGAGCACAAGGCTGGGGTGCCCAGCCTTGGCTGAGCAGTGGCAGGTGGGTGGAGACAGTGTGAACAGTGGCGGAGGCCAGGACCTGCATAGAATGCTGAGTGCTGGGGGACTGGAAAGGGAACGGAGTGTTCAGGAGATTTCCAGGTGGTACACTGGGGATGGAGGCCGAGATGGGGGTCTGGTTCTAGTGCAGAGGGTGCTACCTGAGCTAGACCAGGGGGATGGGCAGGGCAGACACCCAGTCAGGTGTGGCCAGGCTGGGGTTCAGGCACCTACAGGGCAGTGGGTCAAGATGGCCTGACATGGAGCCTGGGTTAGGAAGCCCCCTGCAGTGCCACCCAGGACACGCAAGGCAAGGAAATGGGCTCCTCTGCAGTCCGTCTCCCATCCACTCTCCCTCACCTGAACTGCACATCTTTTCTGGCCAGACCTTCACAAAGATCCTTTGCCTCAGTGGTACATCCTTACACCTTTCTGCGGAAACCATGGCTATCTTGAGGAAAGGACTTGTCATAATCTATGAAAAGACTGCCAATTCTTCCATTAAGAGAAATACTTCAAACATAAATTCATCTGTAGTTCCATCAGCAGACAGTATCCTGGCTCAGCGTCATGCGCAGATCAGTCATTGTGATCCATGACCGGATGGGAAAGCTGAGCATTTGTTTTTCATGACCACTTTCACCTTTGAACCACTGACCTCCAGGGGTAATAAGGAGAAATTTAATTGTAGCGTATGATTCTGTGAAGCCAAGTAATGCCGTAGTTGATATCCTTTTTCATCAGTAAACCAAACTCCAAAATCCAGCGGCTATTGCTCCACCCTGGAGTCTGAGCTAACAGGATGTAGAGCGACACTGCTGCTGTCTCCCTGGGAGGCCAAGTGCAAGAAGCATTTCTGGAAATCCAGTGCCTTTGATGGGATTCCAGCCCCTGTGGCTTTGTGTCCCACGCTCCCTCTGATCGCCCATCGACTTTCACAGGCAGCTGTAGGTCTGGCCGTCCTCCATTCACACATCAGAGCCTCTTGTTTTGCTTCGGCTGCACCACTGTGTTTGTCTTTGTGTCACTCATACAATTTGTACTCTTCCAAGCCTGTGTTCTGAGGGTAATTGTGATGTTTGTTACACCAGATGGACTGCAAAATCCAGTGTTCGTTCAGTGTTGTTAGCAATTCCAAGAGTCCGAGAGACGGGACTTGGAGGACACTGTAGTTATGTTGCTTAGAAACCAGTTCCTCATATCCATAAATCTGTGCTTCTGTGTTCTCTAGCTGTCGTAATTTTGTTTTTTAGAAGATCATTGCATACTTTGTCCACCACTCACATGCTGGCTGCTAGCTCCGTTAACGTTTCTAACTGGAGTTTGTGTTGGTAAAAGGTTCCTTTTTTTTTTTT